AGCAATAAAGTTTACTTTCGTACAAATTGTAAGTACAAGTTCTTAATGAATCATTTTTTTTAAAAGAAACTTTCTTATAATCAAATGGAAGAAATTTGACTTGATCTATAGGCTGAATCGGATGAACACTAAAGAAATAACCTAAGTTAGGCAACGGTCTTTTAAATTTTTTAAATCCTTGTTTTTCAAAATCAGTACTAGCTTCAATATGATCAACAAATTAATTATTAAATTAATATTAGTCCATTACACTGTGTTCAACGTGAACGCGGCGAGCGCGGCAAACACGGTGCGGTGAGAGCGACGCAGCGATAAAAGTTATCAAAAATATAAAATTAGATTAGATTGGCCCATCGTACGCGATAAAAGCTGTACGAGCGAACGAATTTATTAGTTTCGTTCGCGTCCGCCACCCGGTTTAAAAATCAAATCGTTTAGTTTTTCGCCGCGCGTTAAAGCGACTAGATGTATACGAAGCGGATTTTTATTATAATAATTTTATATTATTTTGTATTATAAAACTACGCATTATGATATACGATGTACAAGTAGGTAAACATGTATTGTAAATTATTAAATTATAATATATTAAACTATATTAATTAATATTATTATAGTATTATATTAGTTATTTTTATATTAGAAAAGGTCTCATTATGTAATTTACTAACGGAAAATTGTCATCTCCTACAAACAAAACGAGCTTGTACTGAATTAAAAGGAGCACATTTGGTGCTATAATCATGTTCTCCGTCTTGTAATTAGCAATGCAACCAAAAGTCCAATTACAGTAGCTAATTTTTTTGCTTTGATTCATTCTTGTGCAATTTTTTTTAATGAATCATACCGAAGAATGAATAACAATGAATAACAACCTAACCTTGTTCATGCATGTACGCATGGCAAAATTTCTGAAGAGAATGTTGTCCAGTTGGTACTTTAAGGATGTCATTTTTTGATTTTCCAAACAATTTTCGTAATATCTGGGAAAAACCAGAATTAAACATAAGAAAAACGGGAAATTTACGAAAATAATAGTTTTATTATTTTTCAATTTTGTTATTTATAATTCAGTTAAAAATAATCATAAAGATTTGATATTTAGATAGAAAACTTATTACTTTTTCTAGACTTGGTAAAATTTTCAAAAAATGTAATTTATTTTTGAGGTATTTATAGATATTTTAATTTTGAAAGTTTCATACGTAATATTTATTCGGCAGGCACACTATTGTAAAATTTTTAGACTTGAACAGAAATCCGTTTGGCGTCTACGTGTCGCCAGCGGTGATTGTTAAGGTATTTTATAATGGATGGCCGGAGCGGTACCGGTACTAATGAATGTACCTTTTATCTTCCATGTTGTAAACAGATAAGTATGTTATTATGTATAATATACGGTTTATGGATATAGAAAAAAACATCGCATTCCTATACCGTCCGTTTTTATTAACAATAATTCGATACTACAGTCAATATCTATTATACTGAACGAATCGAAACTACACGATCCCTGTGGAGCTGGCGTCTCGTCCGATTGATATCTATCCGAAAACGTGCCCAAGAGCAGACGCGGGAGGATTACAATTTACAAATAATATTTATTGGTTATTCTCTCGTTATTATTTCCTATAATGGGAACCTTCCAGAAGATTCTTCTTTTTGTATTCCTTGTATCAGTTATCTGAGAATATCTACCAAAATTCGATATACGCACAACGCATATTATACGTTATTATATGTATTGTCGTCATTCGAGTCGACGGGACACATTATAATAAAAGGTTCTCGGTCGTCCGGTTGACACAAAGACGCAGAGTAATAAAATATTTCTGAAAAGTATCTTAGATTAGATACCCGGACTGACCGGTACAAAATTAACAAAAGAAAAAAGAAATATCGTCCTTTAAAATTATGGTGACACGTCGGCGCAGTCGTTCGTTTTATTTTTGATTTTTAACGGAAATTTTAAACAATGTTTATGCAGCCATAATCTAAATATTATAACCCCCGACAATATCACTCCACCAGAAAATACATAGAATAAAAAAAATAATATATAAAAATGTATATTAAATATATTATACTTTGAATGAATAAGTCACCAATAATTAAAATTGCTTTGATTTATTCTGTGCCTTCATCTTTTTTGAAAAAATATGTGATACTGTCAATTGGTACGATTCAACTAGTGGCTACTTAAAATTGTAATAAATATACATTTTAGATTTTTTTTCTTTTATAATAATTATTAAAAGAGAAAAAACAAATATTTTTGTCTCAACAATTGCATTTGAAGTACAGTAAAGTTTATTTAACTCATAATTATCACACTCGACAATTTAAAAATAAATTTTTTAGATTAAGTAAGTGTAATACAGATTTTGGATAAATAGATCGTTTTAATATAAGCATTGGTATGTGTTGAATTGGTATCAACATTAATTATTTTAGTAATTTTAATAGTTACAAAAATTATATTACTGCTAAAGTTAATTTTCCATAATAATTGTTTGTTTATTTTAGATTATGAGTGGAAGCTTATGGTTTTACCAAAATATTTATTTTTGTTTTTTTTCTGTAGACAATTTTTTTACAAAATATCGAACTGGAAAGATACATTAAGGAGGTATTTTTTTGATTTTATCAGAAGTTTTCCCAAAAACTTAAAAAAGCTAATGTATGATTATTATTATTTTTTGGTTATGCATTAATTTATTTTGGTTATATTTTTTTTTTCTAGACTTTCATATGTTTTAATATTGTTCTTTTATTGATTATTCTTACTTTTGAAGCGACGGAACAGCATATACGAGTACTAACTGGAGTATTACCATTGCATAGGTCTATACGGTGTAAAAGTCAAAAATAGAAGTGCCTATTAATCTAAGCTTTTACGGGATTTTCGATAAAATTCTATCTAAATATTCTGTCTGCGTTATTTACCTAGCATTAACTTACTAATATGCTACTTTTACATTAACAACATTGTGTTTGGTTATACCGTCGTATAATAATAAGATTAGGAACACAACAGAAACTAAAATAAATGTTTTCAAAACGTTTAAATTATGTTTATTTTTCGAACATTATTGTTTTTTGAATCCACCCGAGTGAAATTTGACCATTATCTATTTTTTATCCAAGTGCAATTCGAGAGTTTAATTTAGATAAAAAGTACAATTCGACCCTCCCAAATTAAATCATTCTATTATACATCATTATCATTATGGAATACCCTTCAGACTTATTTATTTATTTCTTTTTTTCACTCAGTTTTTTTTGCTTTCACACCAAAATGCAGTTTTCAAAACATTGTGTCTATGTAATAATGGTATTATTACAAAAAACTCTGAATATCTGATTACATTATAAAACATATACCTATACA